CTGCACAGTACAATCTACAAAGTAAACCTTTACTTGGTTTGACACTATATCAACATTCATCACATGGTTGCACATGACTTACAGCAAGGTCTCCTGAAATGTTGGCTCCAGCCAGAATACCAGTGGCGGCGGGGAAAAAGATGGCAAACACAGAGAAGAACGTTTCTCCTCGGAAGTCTGGACCCATGTTCTCCCACATTATTGAAGCTGACAGAAAAAAGATCAAAGGCCAACTGTGACACAGCAGTGTAAAAGCCAACATGAGCTCTCAGATTTATGAGGCAGTATTAATGAGGTGTTTTTAACAAACAAACAACAAACGTCCTACCATCATAGCCCAAGAATCCCTTAGCTTCCTTTGATTTCATAGGAATGAAGCTTCCAATGAAATAGTTAAAGATGGCTGTGACAAGGACGACGAGTAAGAAGATCTGGGCCTATAGGAAGCAATTAAAACCAGTGTATTAATGTGTAGTAGTTAAATCGACTACACCTGCAGTATATCTGCAGGGTTGTCAGAGTCAGAGGGATGATTTGGTGTCTTCAGTATTTGGAATTGCAATGTACCGATTCCAAGTTACCACAGCCTTCATAGTAAAATTCAATACAATTCAGTTTTATTTATATAGCACCAACTTACAACAACTCGTGTCTCAAGATACTTTATGTTGTAAGATAAAGACCCTACTTTAATAACACAGCAATAACATAAATATAGCAATAAAACCGTTTTTGGCTGCCATGCTTTGAAAAACTCACTCTAAAAGCTTTCCAGCATCAAGCAAAATTAACAACATTGGAACAGAGGCAAGCACACGGGCACATCATGCACCAACATGGGCTTGTTCAGCTTAGAGGGGGAAAAAAACAAAACAAAACACCCCATGAAGGCAGTATGAGATCACTAGAGTAAGCAGCAACAGAATTACAAACATTTTCCAGCTTTCTAAGTTGCCAGATTTTGGAGTGTAGTCCTGTATTGGTTTTCAGCTTGCGAAACTTGCTAACAGCTTGCCAACAATGTAAACTGAAGCTTTTCATGTTACCTTCAAATTTTGATTTGAAGGTAACCTCCCAACACCAACACAATCACACATGCACACAATAAGACCGAACTTAAGTCTTTATAAAAACAAATTTTACAACCAGTGAGTGTGACTACTTTGGCTACATTCATGTTTTATGTAGTTTCATATAGGTGTAAGTTTCTATGAATTGGGATGTTGTGCATACCTTGGCCTCCCACTCCATTCCTGCTACAGAGATGCCCAGAAGAATGATTATTGTAATGGTGCCAATTATTCTGATATCGTTGACTTCATCTGTCATGACGGCATCCATACCCTGAGATACAATACAAGGACTTGGTAAATTGAATGACAATGATCAGCAAACAGTGTTTTCATATGTGCTTCTCTCTCTCAATGACGCCAGGACAGCCCACTCCTGCTGATCACTGATCAGCTGTAATTATCAGCTTTCTTGAATTCAATGTGAAATCCTAATAGACTTACAATCAGAAGTTCCACAACAGTCTCAGCAAAGCCCACCACATACATGGCAACAGCCACTGCATTGGCAAAGGCAAAGATAAGACCAATAGAGCCTCCAAACTCTGGGCCAAGACTTCTTGAAATCAGGTAATATGCTCCACCTGAAAA